ATTTTTTTTCAAGATCCAGAAATGATTTTTCTTTTAATTTCGGATATGAAATGTAAAATGCATTAAAGAAATAAATTATCAGTTAAAAAACGGGGGTCACCGATCTTTTTAGGGAATTGTGGCATTAAACCGTGAAATACAAATAAATAAATATACTACAGACACCCTGTGTCTAGCTACACTTTTGTATGCATTTTTTGAAAACATTGATTTTAACGTAATTCTTTGCACGAATGTAACCAAAGATGTTTTGAAGTAACATAAAATTGTCATAAAATGATTTTTTTACACGGTACGTATACTGATGATGAAATTATAAGTTATAAGATGTGCGCAGTAAAAGTGCGCAATGCAAAACTGCGGAATTACCTTAACTTTGAGACGTCGCATTAGAAAAACTGTTGTTAGCTTAATTGGCGCTAGTGTTTAGAAAGAACTAGTCATGAATGCCTGAAGAGGTATTTATTAATTCATTGTTTGATGAAAAGTTTCAGAATCTGACTACCTTGTGAACATACATCTTTTTTGGAACCAAAGCGCGTCCATTTTGGTGCAGAAAACCAATATTTATTTTTTGTTGTCACATATCTGTAATGTTCTCCGTAGTACAAGTATCTGCGTGACAATGTCTGCTTGATCCTCTCATGCACACATTCCCATAATTGTCTCTGACTATTTCTGTCACATTTCGTCATCGTCACAAAATATTTGTTATCATCAGGCACATAGTAGTCATCCGCCATACATTCCAAGGTCTTCCAGTTTAAGAGTTGTCCAAAGTTGGTCCAGATCCACCGGTAATCCCAGCTATCGTAACTACATGTATCGCCTGCCAGGACAAACGTGTTGTAGGGTTTAAGACAATATTTGCGAAAGTTGTGCTGCAGGAGGAATGAGTCTTCATAAGCTGCAAAACAATGAAAGAAAGAAATATATAATGTGTTGTGTTCAAAATCAATCATCCACAAATATGTAGTTTGTCAGATCCAGAAAGAATTTTTGTTTTGTCAACAGTCCTTTGTTTCTTGGTCTCGGCATTCTCAGAGTTTCATATACACATTTTACTTAGACTAAAAAACCTCCAAGTGAAGACCATTTTTGTATTGGGCAATTTGAATTTTTTACTAATATCTTATACGTCGTTTTCTGACCATCAGAATTCTATAAAATATATATTCCTTCAGAGTGCATGAAATGACATTTTAAAGACTCTA